ATTAATTAATTAATTTAATTAAAATTAATATTTATATTTTTTAATTAATTAATTATAAAAATATAATAAATACATTTTTAATTTGTATTTAAACCATTTTCACATGAATAATTTTTGTATGTCACCTTCTTCTTCATCTTCTTCTTCTTCTGTTTGGTGACTGTCACCTTCATTTTCTTTTTCTTTTGGGTACATGACAAGTATTAATAATGTAGACTTTCCTGTCCCAAAGTTGAATTCATGGCTACGTAAATATTTTAAGAAGATTATTTTTTTAAATGCAAAAACATTTGCTAGTATTGACCCTGAACACAAAAAAATACAGTCAAGTATATTTTTAAGGTTAAATTCTAATTTTGGTCCATCAACTTTATAATGTTGCATAATTTTGTCTTTTAACTATTTTTTATATTTTTTTTATCCCTTAACTCTAAAACCTACACGATTTTTATTCCTATGTCAGTTAAGTATGACGTGGCTGTTAAACAATTCTACAATGGCATTTTCTTTTAATTCTTTTAATGATGTAGCAATAATATATCTTATAATTAAGTTATATGGACAAATAAAAATATCACATTAGATGAATATTTATATTTTTAATAAAAAGAACAAGATCAGCAAATTCAACGATCTGTTTCAAGAACTCTTGCAATCCTAGCCATTCAAATACTGTCACCTCACGCTTTCCTTCAAATTCCTTCATCCCCAAAATTATATCATACTAACAACAAACACAACTACATAAAAATTATGAATAACAACTTAGGGAAGATAAAGAGAGCCCTTAACTGGAGATATGAATTTTGACACAAACCACTTCAATCCAGCCTCTGTTACATTACTACGAACAACAACAGGCAAGTCGAGGATTCATATGCACAAATTAGAGTCTCATCCAAATCAAGAACTACATAAAAATGCAAACCAAAATTAACAAAAAAAAAACTCTCACTTAAGATTAGGAATTTGTATAACAAAATACACAGTAATCTTAAAATCCAACATCAAAATTAATCATATGAGGAAAAAGGTGAACATACCATGAGTTTTTTAGGAGGAGCAGGGTTTTCGATTTGGTCATCAAAGTTGAGTTGTAGTGACAAGGAATCTTGCAAAGGGAGGTTAATGATAGGGATGAGGATGAAAGTGGGGAGACGGTGGTTGGTAATGGCGGTAGTGAAGCCAAGGTGAGAGAGGAGTTAAGGCAAATGAGTGTTTCTGAGAATTTGGGGAAGCGATTGCAAGAAAAAGGAGAGCAAATTAATTAGTCCTCTCCATACTTGCACCGACCTTGCTTCCATGACTTCAACTTTCCCCATTTCCACCATTGCTAATAGAGCAAGAGACAACAAAGACTCCAACATGTGAGGATATTACACAAAAATACTACTACTGCTACAAAAGTTCATTTTTTGGGAACCCAAACCTACTAGGTTTGATGGAACCTAGCAGTTGGGTTTTAACAAACCCAAATATGTTAGGTTCGAACAAACTTAACCACTAGGTTTTATCGAACCCAGATCTGTTGGATTCCACCAAACCCAGTCGTGGGGTTTAAGGAAGAAAGAGAAAGAAAGAGGGAGAAGAAGATGGGTCAAGAGGGAGAGGGGTAGTAATGTAACTTTCTTGTTATTTTATTTCGTTTTATTAAAAATATAAATATTTATCTAATGTAGCATTTTTATTTGTCCATGTAACTTAATTATGAGATATATTATTGTCATGTCATTAAAAAAATTAAAAGAAAATGCCATTATGGAATTATGTAACGGCCATGTAATACTTAATTGATGAAGGAATTAAAATTGTGCAGGTTTTAGAGTTAAGGGATTAAAAAAATGTAAAAAATAGTTGAATGATAAAAATTGTGCAATATTATAAAGTTAAGGGACCAAAATTAACATTTAATCTTATTTTTAATCCTACGAAAATTCCAGGCTGTTTCCTTGGGACTTCACCTGATACCGTAAGTGAATAGTATGTTCATTACTTCATTACCTGTTCTTCCTCACAAATTATATTAAAAAGGCATCGCTCATTTCATTTCTTGGGACAGAGGAAGTCTCACTTAACAGGCAAACGCTACCCAATTCACTTCACACCTTCATTGGCTTTTCCTGACCATGATTTGGTTTTCAAGATGCAGGGGATTCATCTTGGCCTCGTGTTTCTCGATCATCTTCATGGCTCTTCCGGTTGCTGATGCTAGAATTCGCCGGTACAGATGGGATGTAAAGTACGAGTACAAGTCCCCTGATTGTGTTAAGAAGCTTGTCATCACCATTAACGGTCAAAGTCCAGGGCCCACAATCAGGGCACAGCAAGGTGAAACCATCATCGTCGAGCTTACAAATAATCTGCTGACAGAGAATGTTGCAATCCACTGGCATGGAATCCGACAGGTATGTAGATTTCATATGGTTTCCGTCCCTAAAAACACATAATTTCATCTCTAGACTTTGTAATTTTGATGTCTTGATGGATCACAGAAAGGAACACCATGGTTTGATGGAACTGAAGGGGTGACTCAGTGTCCAATTGTGCCTGGAACCACTTTCAAATACCAGTTTGTTGTTGATAGAGTGAGTTTTAGAATTCATAATTATCTGACTTTAGTTTGTCTTGGCATGAATTAATACAAGGTTTAATGTCTTCAACATGTAGTCTGGAACATACTTGTATCATGCACATTATGGAATGCAAAGAGAAGCTGGACTGTATGGATCAATCCATGTATCACTTCCGGACGGGGAAAAGGAACCCTTCACCTACGACTATGATCGGAACATCATCCTAACGGATTGGTACCACAAGAGTACTTATGAGCATGCCGTTGGCCTGGATTCCATTCCCTTTCAATGGGTTGGGGAACCTGATGTAAATACCACTCCTAAGTCCCCATTTAATTTTATACCATTCTGTACTCTCTTCATTCAGAATTTGCTAATGAAGTTTGAAATCAATGATTAATTTGCAGTCGCTTTTGATCCATGGAAAAGGAAGGTTCAATTGCTCTAAACTCACCACTGCAAGTTTAGATGCCGGTATCTGTAATGCCACAAATCCAGTCTGCTCTAATTATACATTGACTGTAGTCTCTGGAAAAACATATCGCCTTAGAATTTCCAGTTTAACTGCTCTATCCGCTCTTAGTTTCCAGATAGAGGTAAATTAATTTGATTATAACTTCCATCACATATTTCCGTATCTTTAAAATTTTGAACTTTGCTAAATATCTGTATGCACAATTCTGAAACAGGATCATAACATGACTATTGTGGAAGCAGACGGGTTTTTTGTTGAGCCAGTTGTAGTACAGAACTTGTTCATATACTCTGGTGAGACATACTCTGTTCTGATTAAGGCCGATCAAGAACCTTCGAGAAATTACTGGGCAACCACCAGTATTGTTAGCCGGGACTCCAGTACTCCGCCGGGGTTAGCCGTTTTTAATTACTATCCAAACCATCCAAGGAGAAGCCCTCCGACTGATCCCCCAACCGGCCCTGCCTGGGACGACGTTGCTCCACGGAAGGCACAGAGTAATGCCCTGAGAGCTCGCCACGGCTTCTTTCACCCACCCCCTCCCCTCCACGATAGGATGATTGTGTTCCTCAACACTCAGAATTTAGTAAAGGGCCGTACCCGATGGTCTGTCAACAATGTCTCCTTCACTCTTCCGGACACGCCTTACCTGATTGCGCTCAAGGAGAATTTAACTGATACTTTTGATCAAACCCCACCGCCGGATGGATACGACTTCCTGAATTATGATATTTACAAGCAACAAGACAACCAAAATGGCACTTCCAGAAACGGAATTTACAGGCTGGATTTCAACTCCACGGTGGACATTATACTTCAGAATGCAAACTCCATGCAGCGGAATAAAAGTGAGACGCATCCCTGGCATCTCCACGGACATGATTTCTGGGTTTTGGGCTATGGGGATGGCAAGTTTGACATGTATAATGATCCCAAGAAGTACAATTTGGTAGATCCTGTGCTGAAGAACACTGTGCCTGTCCACCCGTATGGTTGGACTGCTTTGAGGTTTCAGGCGGACAACCCAGGAGTCTGGTTATTCCACTGCCATATAGAATCCCATTTTTTTATGGGTATGGGAGTAGTGTTTGAAGAGGGAATCGAGCAGGTAGGGAAACTGCCTTCCTCCATTATGGGATGCGGTGAAACTTTAGGTCGCCACTCACCTTAATTGGCAAGTTTTACAGTAACATTTTCATATTCTAATCCTACCCATGTAAAATTTGTTAGAAAATGATTAGGTATGATGTTCCCTTGTAGTGTGAAAAATTAGAGTGTCATGTCAAAGAAATGTGAAAAATAATAATAATAATAATAATAAGTGATTTAAATATGTAAAAAGTCATTAAAATATTAGGTTAATTTTTGAGTTTTAACGTGGTGTTAAAACATGTAATATATTACTTAATACCGACAGCTTTTTTTTTTTTTTTAACATGGTGCTAAAATATGTAATAAGCTATTTAATGTCTCTTTGCTACGTCAAATGTATTCTCAACTGAAAAAGATAAAAAAAATATAATAATAAAAAATAAGAGGTGATTTTATTTTTTTTTTAAATCTTTCAAGATACAACTAATTTAAAATTTTGATATAGAACACAAACTCTATTACCGAATTTATATTAGACAAATAGATACCAATTGAAGGGATATGTTTCTTCGGCCAAAAATGTGTTCTCTTAGAAAAACACCATTATAAAAATGTGTCTTTAAATTGCCAAAAAATATTTTGAATTTCAAATATATTCTTTCAATTTTGAAAAATTAAATTAAAAATCAATTAAAAATAAATTTCTTTTGATAAGTAAAGTGTTTCTCTAAATCTATATAAAGGGATAAAACCTAAATCCAATGCCTACAAACTTGAGTTCCAATTTTTTTTTTTAATTATTTATATCAAAAAAACAAACAAACATAAATTTTTTTATTTGCGTATTTTTTTTCCTAAATGTGAGACTTTCTACATTTCAAACTATTCAACAAAATTGTGTATCTAGAAGGACTAGAATTCGGCGTTCAGAAAATTCAAGTTTGAACAGATTAGATCCATTTTCCGAATAAGAACAAAAATAGTTGCTGAAACTAATCTTTCACATGAGTCGGTCAAACATAATTACAAACTGACTAAACGGTTCTAATAATTTGGGCTTAGGCCTAAAACTTATTTTTCACTACTGGAGTCAATGCATGGTGGCAATTGTGAATTGGCATGTTACGTTGAGTTGATGGGTTCTAACTTCTAAGCCTCCATAGGCCCAAGTTCACCCAATACAGGATTAGAAACCCAACTGTTAAACAACCTGGATCCAAAAAACCCAACAGAATACAAGACTCAACTAGCCCACACTGCTGAATTAGATTCCTGATTGCCAAAAATTTATGTTAGACTCTCATCAGAATTTCCCTTGGCATGAAATAAAAGAACAAATAATGGAGAAAAAAACATCTTCTATTCATACGTTTAATCAAACAAAAACACAAGGCTATACCCAAACGTACAGACCACATTTAACAAGAAATCAAGTTTTTCTTTAACTCCTGCAGTAGGAATACTGCAAACAAAAATTACTCATCTCCTAGATGCAAGCAAACAGGGAAGAGAAAACAATCATTATTCATTATTATAGCTAGCCATGCCCTGCAAGCTTTGACTCAACTTAAGCTTACAGTAGAAAAACAATACGCCAATCTATACCTCGATGTCTTGCCACTGCATGTCATCAACTACAGACCATGATGATCATGATGATCTTCAGTCCTCACAACCGGCTTCACCTCCCCAGTCACAGGAGTTGTGCGGCATTCAGCATTCTCATCCACAGTGGCATAAGCCACCTCCACCGCCCCATGATGATCTGCCTCCATTCCTGTCATCATTCCATCATATGCAGCAGCTGCAGGATGAATACGAGGAAACGGCAAGTACAAACTGTGGACAACAATCTTCGCATTCTGCATCACATCAGGAACCTTGATCCTCACATAGTTAATCCTCATAGGAGGGGCAGTAGCACCTCCACCTGCCGTCGTCACCACCAGAGACTGTCCTCTTTCCAGCGACGGTAACATAGTCCCAACCGGGAGCCTCTCGAGCTCGGCGAACGTCAGCAAATGGTTCGGTACGATGTGGCACCTCACACTATGGATATAGTTGTGCGAACCGGTGGAGAAGATTGCCATGTCCTCCAGAGCGAAAACGGTCATGTTGTCGAGAGTGACAAGCTCGAGATACTTGAGCTTCATCGCGAGAGAAACAACACTGAATCCGTTGTTGCGGAGCCGGAGCATGGCATCCCTAAGCATCATCCGCATCAGAGCAGTCTGTTGTTGAGGAACTAGTGGTTGCTGTTGGATCTGAGGGTTGCGAAGAGGGACGGAGAGTGACATCATGCGCTCAATGTCGCAAGAGAAAGACGAGAGAGGTGAGACGTAGCCTTGGATGCCGTGGATGATAACGAGGCCGTTGTTGAAGAGATCGGGATGCGTGATCTCCACGCCGCCGATGAAAACTTTAGGAATGGTGTTGTTGCTATGGCTGTGGGCGGTAGTGGTAACGGTTATACAGCGGCCAGGGCTAATGGTCTCGATCTTGGAACCGAAGGCTAGTTTGCGAAGGTAATCGATGGAGAAGAGACCTGGAACCACGTGCTCTCGCAGAAGCGACGGGACCGAACAGGAGGCGCACGTACGGACGGAAGAATCCGAAGGTGCGAAGAGCGTGAAAGGTCCGGACCAGGCCACAGTGCCGCTGGAGTCTGCAGACAGGGATGGTACGGCAGTCGCTAACTCATTGAAGCCGAGGTGCGAGAGAATAGGCGAAAGGAGAGAAGTCATAGAGTGATCGTTCACGATGACGTTTTGAGTTGGCGGTGGAGGTGGTGGAGGTGGCGGTGGCGGCGATGTAGTAAACAACGGCGACGTCATCTGCGGTGAAGGTGGCGGTGTGGTGGTGGTGGAGGCGGTGAAGGGGGTAAAGATTGGATCGAGAGCTTCGGTGAGTATTGCTTGGGAGACGGAGAGTATGGAGAAAGAGAGGAGGAATTGGATCTGCAGAGAAATCGCCATGGTAGAGCAGAGAGATTTGCGCGGCTCCTTTTCCCAGGTGAATGAGAGTGGAGAAAGGTTGAGAGCTCCGAGATATTTATATGGGGCCAGTGCCACGAACAGTCTAGAGAAGCGCGTGTTAAAGTACGGGCGCGTGGGAAAGGTTTTCGAAAATGTGAGGCATGACGGTTGCGTGAATCTGTTACTTTTGGCGGGAATTTGACAGGACAGTTTTGGGTGCGGTTGGAGAATTACGGTTCTGATGTTGTGGTTGAAAAACAGCCATCAGACGGCCATGATGAATTCAGAGTTATGTTCATATACAAACGAGCTTAGGCTATATATTGTGCAGTAATGATATTTTCCATGTTATTATTATTTTTTATTTAAGTATGGTCCATTGGTCTAATTTTTAATGTAGAAAATATAAATGTAATCTGAGAGTAGTGAGTATTAGTTGGTGTTAAAAAAATTAGATGAAAAGTATTTTAAATTTATATTATTTTAACAAAATATGAAGATTAAAAATTTTTATTTAATAAAATATTATAATTTAAAAATTAATATATTTTAATTTTTTTAATATAACTTTATTAAAATATTTTTGCAATTCAGATTGATAATCATTTTTTAATTAATTAATATACTTTTAATTTTTAAATTACATGAAATATAAAAAATTTGATAATAATTTTAATATTAATGTCATTTAGATAATTTTAATTAGATAGTTGATAAATTAAAAGTTAATTTTTATTTTTTAATACAAATTAATTTAAAAAACACATTAATTATATCATTAAAAAAATCTATTTTTAATTTAAAGCATTTAAAATTATTTATTTTATTATTTTACTTAGGGTTTTCTAACATGTATCCTTAATGGTGTAATTA